TATATATGTCTTTGGCATATATTTATATACGGCATATATTATATATATTATTTATTTATATTTATATTATAAAGATATACGGGGTGTTCCAGAATTACCGCACCATCTGCTAATGACAGATTCTTGAGATCATGTAGAGACGATTTTTGCTTAGCCAAAAAAAATATCGAGGCATTAATAATTTCCATGTTATAAGCGATTCAAAAAGAAGGCCTTTTTGCAAACTGAACTTTATAAAGAGTTAAAACTATATTCTTCAGTTAATTTCAGATAGAGTTTAATAGATCTTACTTTAATAGAGAGTGAGAGAAAATTATAATTTAAGAATTAGTTACACACAAAGATATATGATGAAAAAACTTGCAAAAATAATGATCTCTCTCAACATTTTCACTGAGGAAAAATCGTTTCCAAATAATCCCAAGAATTTGTCATTAGCAAGTGGTGCGGTAATTCTGGGACATCCTGTATAAACATATATATCAAAAATTTTAGTTGCCAAATTTATTTTATTTTTGAAAAAAAAACCAATAAATATAGAATATACATAATAAAATTATAAAATAATTATGTTTAATTAACATATTACAATTAACAAGTATTTTAATAATTGTTACAAAAAACCCTATTTTTTGTTCATCCAAATTTAACTAAGCTATTCATATGCTTATTAAAATTGTGCTTCGTCAATATTTGAAGTTTCTTTCTCTGATATCTGTGCATATTTAATTTACATAAATACAATGCAACTATGGAGGCTTATAAAACATTTCGATATAATCGTTTTTGAATAATTTCCAGTGAAGCAGATATTATCTACAATGAAGAGTTACATCCTGCTTCGTATAAAATTACAGTAATGCGCTCAGTAACTCGTGATATAATATATCAATGGTTTGGTAATCTCTTCACTCCATTTTGTCTCTCATCTTATCGGTTATTAAATAAAGGACTTATTACATTCCTTGAGACACATATTATCAAAAAGGTTATCTTACATTTCCAACACTAATTGTCTTATGCAATTACAAATAATATTTTTGGTTATTGTGACAATGTAAAAAATTCTTAGTAGTTTCTGTTTTATCCATTAAGAAAAGAAAGAAATGCTAACATATAATTTGAGTTTTTCAATTTCTTACAATATCTGAATTTGTTAAATAATTTTAATACTATTTTTTAACATTAAATTGTTACATCTGTTAGTCTTTAAATTACAAATATTACAATTTTTTATGATATAAAATAGCGAGGTTATTTTTAAAATAACAAATAATTTTGCATGCATTAGTGTATATCGTTAAATCGTATTGATCACTTCAATCTGTTTGCAGGTCTATCCAGATTTTGAAAACATCACAAATTTGTTGGTAGTTAAAACTCAACATGAAGCTCTTCATCTAAACTCTTATTCCGCTATGAACTCTTTTGCAACAAACACAAGCAGTATATCTGAAATTTGTTCACATTTTCCATTTTCTCGTATCATAGGTATACAATTTTGTGTGTTTAATAAATTTTATTTAATATATAAATAAAATAAATGTACACGTATGTAAATAAAATAAACAAGATCATATATGCTAAACAAAAAATATCAAAAATGAGGTTAAAAGGTTTCGATTGTATATTTCTTTACCGTTAATCAAAGATTGCTATAATAGAAGAAACGGAAATTTCTAAAGTTTGAACCTACTTCTTTGTATATTATATTCACGGATTTATGAATACTGTAATATGTAAATTCATTTGAAATAAATACAATTATATTCTACGTTTTCATTATAGGACCCGCTATATGGCGCATGTTGAATGGTACACTTCCCCGTAATTCAATGTTGATGGGTTTAAACACATACTTTAATACTCGGTAAGAGATATTGTAATAAAATAACTTCATATCCCATAGTATATATACAAGAAAAAGAATACGTAATATAGAAATAGTAATACATAATGCACTTACAGAAGTGATGCTATTGATAAATTGTGCCAAATAATGAAAAAAAATATTATGCATTCTATATATAATTCTGTTCCTTAATTTAATTATCTACATATTCTTTTATTATTATGTTACAGTATTGAAATTGTCATTTTTAATAATTTGAAATTCATAATAGAATATTTCATTTGAATATTTCTGTATATATATATTTTATATTAACTTGTAGTGAAAGAAAACTACAAAAGATATATATTTTCAAGTAAAATATCAAGTAAAATATAAGTTAGAATAATAAAAAATTAACAGAACGTCCAAAAATTAAATCTAGCAAGTTTAGCATTACTACATTTATTATGGCTGTCAAAATTTTATTTTTTGCCACAGTTGTTGAAACGAATAATTATTTTAATTTTTCAATGCAAATCAATGATGTATAATGTGAATTGCCGCAATGTTAAATTTTACAGATTTCCTAACTTTAATTCGCCAACTCCCGATGATCTATGGAGTTTTATACAGACTGGTATAGACGATAAATTAAAAAATAAACTGTATAATCTAAGCATAAAACAGATAATGGATATTTGGATTACTCAAACGTATTGCCCTGTGGTAAACGTGAAACGAGATTATTCTGATAATCTCGTAAAAATATCGAAAGAGATTAATGACAAATTAGATCGGAAACCATATTTTATACCTGTGAGCTATGTTAAGGAAACGAACATCAATTTTGTCAATATCTCGCTACAAAGTTTCAATTGTTTAACGCAGTCGAATCCGGAAATGAAAATCAACTATGATAGTAAAGATAAATGGTTCATGGCCAACATATTACAAACTGGTAAATATTAAATAATAAAGTTAATATCTCTTTATCCTCTTATTATATAAAAAAAAATCTGGTTTTATTACATATTTTTATTCCTACATTTTTTTACAAAAATTGTGAAACTATTTTCTACATATAATAAACATAATTATATTTTTCTAAAATATTCTATAATATTACCTTTAAATTTTAAATTAAACGTTCTTTGCATATATAAAAATATTAATTATGTAACTAAAATCTTAGTTTAAGCTTATACAATTCTGTACGCTTTAATATTTCGAAGATTTATTTTTTAATTTGATTATTGATGGAAAATGTTTACGTAATTAATAATATACAAGAAACTTGAAAAATATATATACTACCAATTTCTAGTACAGTCTGCATGCGTACTTAAAACAGAGGAAAATTAGATACATAAAATTCGAAATATTTCTGATGTCTGATTATTCCGATACGTTAAAAAAATAATCGATAAAATTTATCTATTAAATAATAGGATACTATCGCGTCAATTATGACACCGAAAATTGGCGAATGATCGCGCGTTATTTAAAATCCAAAAAATACGAGAATATACATGTTATCAATCGAGCGCAAATCATCGATGATGCGTTCCATCTTGCGATGGAAAAGAAACTTGATTTCTCCATATTTTGGGAACTCGCGAGCTACTTAAAGCAAGAGAAGGATTATGTAGCATGGTATCCTATGATTAAAGTTTTTGAACGTATATCCAGTGTCTTTGCAATTACAACAACTCATGATGAACATCTCAAGGTAGAGAAACTTATTGCCAATAATAAGACATATCAATAAAATTATGTTAGATATTAAGTCAATACATATAGAGTAACGATCTCATAATTCTGACATAATATCTTAGAAATTAA